AACTTTTTCTACAAATTATTATACCACCTATAATAATACACGTGGTAAAGGCATGCTGCAGCTATATTGCTGGTATAGTTGTAGCCCGAATGGGTCGGCTCGACCGGGGAAGGACCACGCTCTCACAGAATACCAGTGTAAAATAGCAGCTTAACACTGCTGTGTTTCTTATGGTGAGTGTAGAGAGACCGGAGAGTTGGAGACCCATTTTACAGGAAACGAGGCTTTCCATCTTAGTCGTCACGGGTGATAACACATCTACATTTTGATTTGTAACCAAGGATAGATGTAGATGTCTATGGACCACAGCAACCACTTACCATCAGGTGGACTATATGCCCGTTTGTTACGCTCTAAAAAAAATACCACCTATACATATTAGACCACTTTTTATGTATAACCTACACACTACACAATTTACGAAGATATCGCGTAACATACACACAAAAGAACATTAAGATTGTAAACCACCTTTATTTTTTTGAAGGCGGCTAAAAATTTGTTTATGTAATAAGCTTAAAGGAATAATCAAGCCTAAGAAATAGTGAGAAACTATATAGAAGTAATTGTTATAAAAGTGTTAACAATGTAACGGGATAGCCACGAAACGGTTCCTAAGGCTCGATTTTTATTGTTCGATTCTGTAAATAATACTTATGTTATGTTAGAAATCCAAGTAAAGAAATATCCTTCAATTACTTTATCCTTCTCTTGTTTCATAGATATTTTGTCATAACATGGCGATATAAAGTCGTTATAGAAAATCGTAATGATTGCGTATCTGTTTCCAGTGCGAAGTACTTATTTTCTACCGACTTCAAAAAGGAGCATGTACTCAATTCGACTGTATGTTTTTTTTAATGTTTGTTACCTCATAACTTTCTTCTGGGTGAACGGATTTCGATGATTCTTTTTCTATTTGAAAACTGGTGCTTCTCGTGTGGTCCCATAAAAATTTGTACAAGACCCGAACAACAGTTTTTGAGCTATTATTATTTATTTATATTGAAGTCGGTTGTACAATATTGTTAATTTTAAATTATCTATATTCTATTTCTATAGATCTTCTTAAGTAACAGCACTGTTTAGATTACTCAACTTGCGCTATACAAAATCTTCGTATCGATAGAATAAATCCAGAAATGTTGTGGCCATATATTACCGATTGGAACGAATTTACTTTTACAGGATACGGTTCAAATAAATTCAATACCGTTTCAATACCGTGTTAAAATCAGAAGCCACCAGATAGCTAACGGTACACAATAAATGTCTCGACAAACCAAGGTTCGGAACCCTAAACAATGCGTTGACCTTTGTATCTGCCGACTGGTCACATAGCACTCCTTCCTACTGATTGTTCAGTCTATCAAATGCGTAAGTGGGGACTTACTCGCGTTCCACGAATTTCGCAGTAGGTGGTCAGTAATCATCAGAACTAATTGCAGGCTATTCACAAAGCTTATAAGTAGACGATATAGAAACTCCATATGCATAAGAAGCATGTATAAACTATTACGTTAAAGGTTAAAATACGTAAAAATACGTTAAAATACGTCTGGCATTGATCAATAATTCATATAGGACCACATGTGAAGTACCAGCTTTCAAATAAAAGAAGAATCATCGAAATCGGTTCACCCAGTAAAAAGTTATGAGGTAACACACATAAAAAACATACAGTCGAATTGAGTACCGTCTCCTTTTTGAATTCGGTGGAAAATAAGGTATTTAAATATATATATATATATATATATATATATATATATATATGTGTGTGCCTAGATCTAGATTCAATCCCATCCGGAGCTGATATTCGTACAGTATACCAATTTTTATCTGTCTGGGAGTTATGTATTACAAAAGGAAATAGTGGAGTCTCTATGGTTTTTCCTATTCGTCTCACTCTTTTTAAGTGTAAAACCAACCAAGAAAAAACAATAATTAACGTCATTTATGAAGCAGTGATTAGGTCTGCGTCTGTGAATCATGTCACGTTTACGTTTATTTGGTAATGAGCTGTTTATTTAGTAAACAGATATCTATTTATCTAGTTTAGACGCAGATGTCTCATAATTTATTGTGTACTAAGTACAGAACATTTTTATTTATGTGTGTTATTGTTATGTAAATGGTCAAACAAAGTATGATGGTCCAACTCAAACGTTCAGAAATTTCTCATATTATATTTTTATATTACCAATTTCTTATATACCTATTTTACCTATTTTTATATATTGCCTATTTTGATAATATATCAAATACGATGGCAAAAAATAAATTAGTCCCTTATTATGAATGAGTCGTCTCGACCAGGGTACAACCACACTCACAGATAAGTGTGTAATAATAATAATAAAAATTTAATAATAAATTAGCACAAAACATTAAATTCAACAAGAACAGAAAATTCGTTTTTATTTTATCATTTAAGAAATGCAGATGTAGCTTGTCAATTAAATCGGAAATTTCCGATGTCGCCCGCAATCTACATATAGTACAGACCGTCTCTCTCACATCACGCTCTCACAAAATATCAGCGTAAAATAGCAGCTTAACACTGCTGTGTTTTATATGGTGAGTGTAGAAAACCGGAATCCATCTTAGTTCTTAGGGGTGACAATATTATCACATTAAATAACACAGCGGTAAATACAAGTTCATATATTGTCTGTTAAAATAATAAAATAAACAATTCTACCAAAAATAAAAAAATGCATCATTTAAACAACATAAATAGCGTAAAAATTGACACGAAATAAATCACCTTGATAATATTAGTTTACTGTCCTGAACTGACCTGTAAAATCGGCAACGGTCCGGCAGGTGCGCAGTGCTCACGCAGCATCGACATAGGTAATTATTTACCTACACTTTCCCATTCATAGGTAATTATAATTAGGCAAAAAACTAAAGACGGTCTACCGCGACTAGAATGTTAATTGTTATATTATATTTTTGAGTTGTGTATGTTCAAAGAACGTTATTTAGGAAAAATATTTTCATTTATCCACCCCGTATAATACAAAATATAAATCCACTTACAAATGAAGTACTCCTGTAACGCCATTTATAACATAGACATAGTATTTTAGTACCTAGTCTAGATTAACAAGCTCATTACCTATTTCATCTTCATCAATCCTGCAGTCCGTTCAGTGCAATACATCACGTCGACATTTTTGGCGTATTGACAAGGATGACTAATAAAATAATATGTTTATAATATATAAAAATTATGTGTCACATTGTCTGTTCGCGGTGAATTCCTAGACTGATTTCATTGAAATTTTGCACACTGTGTGCAGTTTAGCCCAACTTGAGAGATACTATAGTTTATATCACGATATTATTTATTGCGATTTTAAGATTTTTTTATAGAAAGACAAAGGGTCGTCGAAAACGGCAGAACAACTTTTGCCTGGCCAGCTAGATACTTATATAGTACTCATATATAAATCTATGATAACAACTCGAATACAAATACAACCAGATTTTGACTAAACAAATGTCTATATTATGCACATGTATTTTTTTTACACTGAGCGATATTGAGGTGCAATCAAAAGTCAATTAAAATGCTGTTTATTCATCCTCGCTCAGTCACACAATGATTTATAGTTTCGCAGCGGGCATTGGGCAGGCACTGTCGCGGTTGCTTTTTAAATTAAAATCGTACAGAGCTCGGCGTGATCTTATCCCGATCGATCAATTTAGATAAAATAAATATTTATACATCTGAATGTGGATGGGCGAATAACGCGATTCTGTAAATTGATTATGTCCGTGGAGGCTTTTTTGACAGACACTCTCCACTATACAATCGTGTAGATTTTATTACATTAATAAATATAAGTGAACTATGTATGTTTCTATCTTTATGTATAGTGCTATCTGTATTAAATATTTTAGACATTCTATTTTAAAAAAAACATTCCTACTGCAACAACAGTTACTGAAAATTACTTTCAGAATCATTGTTTTAGCATAAACAGTCATGTCTAATCAATTACAGAGTATTTTAATCAGTTGCTAAAAAACTACAAATGAAACTATATGTGCCTACACTGTCGTATTAGGTACGCCTGTAAAGACAGAGGTAGAAATAAATAAATAAATAAATAAAAAATAATTACAATACATTTATAAATAGAATTTGAAGTCGAGGCTTTGTCAAGAGTAACATTAAATTTCTGATGGGTTAAATTATTCTTTTCGTAATTACGATACGAATAAACCTTTGTATCCATATTGTATAATTATTCGCACCTTTATTTTTTATGTTTTAAAGAAATAGTTAACTGTTGACCACAAAAGAAGAATACGCAAATAAAAGTAGGTTTAGTAGATAAAATATTAATTTATTTATACTCTTGTTTGGAAGCGTAATAAATACGAATTTTTTTCATGTTCTAGCTAAAAAATACATCACAAATTATAAACTTATACTTAGAAACAGCTATTTACAATTGACTAGGGTACATTTCAGTTCTTCAACAGAATTATCTTAACTATCTATATTTACAGCCATTTACATATCTTATAGCACAAGAACCTCACACTTCCCACATTTTATAGTGCTCTATATAAGTACCTAACATTATCACAAGTTTGTTATTTAACCTTTTGTTTATCCATTGGATTAAGTTTATCAGGAACATTACAATGAAATTTACAATACATAACTGTTAACTTAAGAGTGGAATGCATAATCCTTACATAAATAATTGCGCAAGTAAAGGCTTTGAACTTTTGTGTCGTTTCGAGAAATACGGTTACTATAAAAGGCATGTAATTTACAATAATCAGTACAATAATTAGTACTTACAGTACAAGTTTGAAGAAAATATTTTAAAAATGATTGTAGTAACATACGAGCACCAACTTAAAGAACTCTATAATATTTCGATTGAAAATTGTTTTACATAAACATACATTAAAGTAACTAACAATATTACATATAATTTACAAGTAAGACGTAAATCACATTTATAATAGTTTTAAACAAAATAAGTCTTTCTTAAATTACTAGGTCTTGTGTTGGACATAGGAATCTGTTGCGCGGGCCTAAGAGGCCTCTCCTCACACTGATGATTGTCTATGGACACGTAACTGTGATGATGAGGAAGTCGATCATCAGGTCGGCCCTCACTGCTGGCTACTGAGCAAGTTTCGTCCTCTGTACTTCGCGCAGACACCTCCGCACTTGCACTGGTCGAATGCATAGGGCTCGACATCATCAGGATTGGAGGTGCCATCCCATACTTATACCACGGGTCCTGAGATGTCGGGGGCGCTGTGTACCTGAGATTCCCATGACGTCCAAACACCTCCCTATTACTAGTTTTCATATTATTAGCGTTATGAAGCGTCCGATTTGGCAACGTCACGTCCACGTCGGGTAACCGAAAATTTAGCTTTTCCCAACAATTTTTCTCCCCCCACACAATCACTGTACACGTTTTAAGCAACACTTTTAAATCTGGATCAATGTTAATGGCACTCAAGTCCGTGGTTACGAGAAAAATTATCTTTTGACGTCTATGCCTAACATTCACTGAATTGATAGCACTTTGTACAGCGGCCTTTGATTCTGGCGCGTACCATTCTTGTTCTAAAAAGTTTATCGATAGCACAATAATAAGTCTCTTAGAGCTTTCCGAAGCACTAACTAAACTGTCGCCTGACCGTCTTTCGATCAGTTGCAAGTCCCTGTGTTGAAGGCACAAAGAATGACCCAAATTTTCTAATTCGGAACTCACTGCACGTGTCACAAAATCTTCATCTCGAGGATTATATACAAAGAAAGCGTCAAATCTTTTGTTTTTGTTATCATTCATATCCTTTGAAGTGGAACTGAACACTCTTATGCCGTATCTTGAATGCATCCATAATTTAAAATCTTCCCGGAACATGAACAGAAAGGCACACATTACTAAGAGTATGATTACTATTATCAATACAACGGCGATATATGGAATATAATTTTCGACGCCGTCATTCGATTCAATGAATAATCGCTTTAAAGTCTCCGTCCCGGTCTCTTCGGTAGTGGTCTCCGTTTTACATTCCTTCGCTATCGTCGCTATAGTTTTATTCATGGGCAGACCGTGAGCAAAGTAGCACATCATGGTTTCGGTGTCTTTAGATTTTTTTATTAACCATTGATTTAGCTGAGCCACATCCCTGCAATCGCATATCCAGTTGTTGCCGTCTACAGATACACGCGTGCGAGGATTATTGTCTGTAATAACTCTCCACGGCATGTAATCAACGTAACCGTTACTGTCAAGGTTCAAATACTCCAGCGAAGGCAGGTAGTTAAAAGTATCGTTTTCAATTACTTTTATTTTATTGTCATTTAAATAAAGTTCATTTAGATTCGGCAACCGCGTGAACATCGTATTTCTCAGTACTTCAAGTTTATTATTTTCTAAGTGAAGTACTCTCAATGATTCAATGCCGTTAAAAGTTCTATTTTGTATTGTATTTATGTCGCTGTTATTGAGATAAAGAACTTGCAGTCGTTTTTTACCAATAAATACGTGATTTCCTAATTCTTTTAAATTGTTCCCGTCCAAATAAATTTCGGTCGCGTCCATCGGTATTCTTTCCGGCACGTGATCGTAGCCGGCGTTTGAACAATACACTACGTTGGAGTTCCAGGTGAGATCATGATAGCACGTACAATTATCTGGACAAGCCATCTTACAATCACAAGCATCAAAGTCACAACAATGACAAAGAGTGAAGCAGTGTGAATCGTACTTGCACAAAAATTCCGAAGACTTCACTTCGAGTAGAAAAACGGCCAACTTATTTCGTGAATGTGTTAAAGAGCATCTTACGCTTTCTAAATCCATTACTCTTGGTCGTTGCCTGAGGTCGCTTAATTGGTTAATTCTCTGCAGCCATTCCATTGTGCAGTCGCACTCAAACGGATTTTCACTGATATAGAACTCAGGTAGATCTTTGTCTTCCGAGACAGATGATATGGCGAACGCCCCAACTTCCAACGTTTTTATCTTATTTGAATAAAGTATGACTTTATTTAGGTTGTATTTTTGAAGGAATGTGCCCGGATTTATATCTTCTATATGATTGTTATTTAAAACAATAGTTTCTACGCTACTCGGAAATGAAAATTCATCGAGGCTTCTTATTTTATTGTAGCTTACATCAAGCATCTTTATATTGCACGATTCTTTTAAACCATACGTATCTTCAAGCTTCTCTATTTTATTCTCATGCATATCCAACCATTCAACATTGGTTGGTATATAACTATAGTCGAACCAAAGTAACTCATTATTAGACACGTTTAACCAAATAAGGGGTTGCGTGTTTGTAAATATGCCTTTTAAATCTACCAACTTGTTCCCGTCCAGTCCAATAGCCTTTAATTGCTGATTAGACGAAAAAGCTCCATCATCTATTTGATCGATATTGTTCGAAGCTAAATTCAATATTTGTAGCGATGGCAAGGCTACAAAAGTATCCTTCGATATTTTTTCAATTTTGTTACCGACAAGTCGCAATCCATACAAATCATCTAAGCCTTCAAACTGAGAAGTTGTAACTTTTGTAATTCTGTTCATGCCTAAGTCTAGAGACGTTAAAAATCTTAGAGTCTTTATAGCTTCCGGTACCTCGGACAACTGGTTTCCACTGAGGCCCAAATCATGCAGCTTCGTAATATTTTCGAAAGAGCGTAAGTCGATTTTCGTAATTCTGTTACCATCGAGGAATAACTGGTTTAGTACATATAAATTCGAGAAATGGCTGCTGTCCACTTCAATAATATTGTTGTGCGCTATAGACAGCGAATGAAGATTTTTTAAATTAGAAAATGCACCATCCGCTATTCGAGCTATATTGTTGAATTCCAAACTTAAGAATTGAAGATTATTTAAATCTTGAAATAACAATGCGTCTATTTTGCTTATTCTGTTGTGTGATAAATTTAAAACAATAAGGCGCACCAGCCCTGAGAATGTGTCTCTGTTTACCCACTCACTAGTCAATTCATTGACAGATAAATCTAATATCTGCAGCTGATCGAGTCCTTCCAACAAACCAGGTGCGAGCACACTCAACGAGTTATTGTTCAAATATATTTGTTTGATATCTCTCGAAGACTGAAACATTTCTGGTGGTAGCGCTGTCAATGCATTCGTGGATAAATTAAGAACCTGTAAGTCACTTAATCCGACAAACGCGCGATCTGCTACAGTCGATATTCTATTATCTTGCAAGAATAGTTTTTGAAGTGCGCGTAAACTCGACAAGCCGTTATCGGGTAGTGCACTTATTTCATTATGTGACATATCTAACGTCTCTAAAACCGTATTACAAGATTTTCCGGGTGCTGTTGGTCCGTTACCCCAATCGGAAAACCCTAAATTCGATATATCTTGTAATCTGTTTTGTGTAACGTTTAGTTCCTTCAAATTATACAGCGGGCAAAATATCTCAGACGGCAGCACCCATATATTATTATCACCCAAATCTAAAGTTCTGAGGTCAGTGAGTCCTCGAAATGTATCTCTATGAAATTCCATAGACATAGCAGACCAGTCTGTATTGTGAGTTCTTATACTTAAAGTACGTAAACCGCTAAGCGGCGACAAAACTGCAGATGGCACATATCTAATTTTACAGGACTCTATCTTCAATTCTTTTAGATTATGAAATCGCGATAGAAGTTCAGTGCCTTCTTCTTTTCTTCTTCCTACGTCAAGAGAACTTTCGAAAAATAAAACATCCGTACAATGCAAATCAAGCGCAGTAATGCGCTGAGCTTGAGATGTACTAAGGCCAGCAAGTAGGTCGGTGGCGCCAGCTGCCGTTCGTAGGGAGCAAGCCAACTGCACACGCGTGGGCTCACCGGGCCCACCCGACACGCGCTGCCACTCGCACTCCTGCGGTGCCTCCGCCACTCGACTCGTCAACGACGCCGCGCTCGCTTCCAAACACATCCAACACCACACCGCATACCACAACAATAATCCCATCGATTTCATTGTGTTTACTTCACTTCAAACTGTCACTTATTTAAATTGTCACTAAATAGGCAGGTGTTGTCGCGCACATCGCTTCGCTAGTCCAGTGCGCTCGGAAAACTTCACGAATTTCCCGTCAAACTTGTTTCGAAGTAAAAATCATAACGGACGCGGTACGCGAACTTTTTAAAGACACTACTCTCGACGATGTGCGAGAAGCGACTGAGTGACGGCTCGGATGGAGTTGAGCGACCGGCTGGCTCCCCACACAAACGCTCCTCCCCTGACAGGGACGTCCGATATCAAAGTCTCTTTCTTCTTAAAAGTTCACAACGGCAACAAGTTGCTTACCAAAGATTGGCATGAACAGGAGCGCGCTTTGCGAGCTTTTATAAACATGGCGCTGCTACTTTGTTTGTTTTGCTTAATCATAAAAATACAATAGAATTATAATGGATATTGTAAAGGCTTTTTAAGTATTTGACTTGCAGAAAATATTTAAATTGGCATAATATATTAAATGTTACAATAAAGTTAACGTTACAGTATACGTCCCACTGCTGGGCACAAGCCTCCTCTCATTTCTGAGAGGGTTTTAGAGCAAGGCAAGGTGTTGGCGATGTTAACATGTCATCGAAATATTTTTTTCTTATTTCCCAGACATACAGGTTTCCTCACGATGTTTTCCTTCACCGCCAAGCACGTTGTAAATCAGAACTATAAATTTCAATTAACAATTTCATTGGTGCCGGCGGGAATCGAACTCGGGGTGCTCGCGTACTATAAAATATAAGGCGAATGCGAAAATACCACGGCTCACCATGTTACAATGCCAAAATAAAATTTATTATGTAACCTTAGTATTAACTTGTGCATTAAAATTAAAAATAAGATAAGTCCCAATATCTTATCTTTAGCCGGATGACCCCAAAGAATACTTACATTGCTCTACGAGTTCATTTTCGCAAATTTGCTTTGTTCTATAATCTAAACCTACCTGTGTCCATGACGCATTTAAGCAGCGATAACCCATACCTTATCGTTGCACTTGTCAAATTACTCACATAATGACATCATCAGCTTAAGTGTTACCCTCCTATCCTATCGCAACTATTTCTGATACCTAGAAAAGTAAGGTTAAAATGTTCATTTACCTAGTATGTTTATTTTAAGAGCATTATACCTCACCTAGTAATTTGTACACACTCAGAATATAGATAACAAGTTAAAATATTCTCTTGTTTTAACTCATGTATATTGAATACTCCATTTTTTTAATAATCGCTTAATTGAATTACTAATATAACAGACTAAAAAGTTTTTTTTTTATAGGATAAGGGTGACAAACGAGCACACAGTCCACCTGATGGTAAGTGGTTGCTGCGGCCCATAGACATCTACATCTATCCTCTGTTACAAATCAAAATGTAGATGCGTTGTCACCCGTGAGGACTAAGGTGGAATGCCTCATTTCCAGTAAAAAGGGCCTCCGGCCACCTGCACTCACCAAGCGAAACGCAGAGGTAAACCTCTACTTCACGCTGGTTTTCTGTGAGGTCGTGGTACTACCCCGGTTCGAGCCGGCCCATCCGTGCGACAGCAAAAGCTGCCGCGTGGCTCTACCACTGTTAAAATTTCCTACTATTGTAATGTACAAGCCTCCTATAATTATTGCTTCTAATAAAAATCGATAAAATAACATTTATGGTTTTGCTGGGACATCATAATTACTTTTAGAAAAAAAAATAGTGATGTTAATTCTGTAAATACTAGGAACGAGCACAAGCTATTAATACCAGTTCCTCGAGTATAAAAATCAGAAATTCTTTCATGGGGCAATGTACGCTTTTAAACAAAGTTCCAGAAAAAATATGCAGAACCAATCAATCAAAAGGATTAAAATATTTATTAAATAAAAAATGTTTATTAAGGGTTTATACTAAAGAGAACGATATGATTGATTACATGCCCCTAATACAATCATGATAATGTAAATTATTGTTTAATAAAAAGTCCTGCTGTATTTTTGCTGTTTCTAAGAATACATACAAGGAGATAGGCTGTTCTTTTCCTATTCTTGTAATATATATTGAATAAAACTATACAAAAATTTAATCTAAACATATGATATACAAAACTCTCAAGATATTCATCTCAGTTGGCGCGTTTTTGGAAAGACCTTTATCCAGCAGTACATAATATCTGTTACAGACGAACAAGTTTAAATAATCATATTACAATCATTGAATTTCTTTAATGAATACAGATTTATTTGACAGAGCCTAATAGTTCTATGTTTGACAGTTTAGTTCTTGTACGTATAGTAATTTATATCATGATCATCACCAATACAACTTATTATAAGTCCACAATTGAACATTGGCCTCCCACATAGATTGCCACAAAGCACTGTCCTGAGCTACCTGCATGTATCAATCCTCTCATGTTTCCTCAGGTCATTACTCCGTCTGGTGAAGCCGCCCTATTCTCCACTTGCTGCCTGGCACTCGAAAAACGTTCTTCCCCGTCGGTCGTCGGTTCTACATGGCCGGCTCATTGGCACTACAGCTTACTGATCCTTTGGAATGTCGGTTACCCTAGTTCTACTGTGGATATCAACGTTACGGATTCTACCACGCTGACAAAATCCAAGCACGGATTTTCTCCTCCCTTTCCACATAGCTTGCTGAGTGACTTTGAGCTACCTCATTAGGTCAGCAGGAAAGGACTACGCAGTTTATATAGAATATTATATTTTAGTTATTTTTGTAGAGTCGTCCTTATTCCAAACAAGCATTTTAAGAACATAGATAATATTCTAAATATATAATACACGATGCTCTCTAGATTGATACCAGTGTTTTCAAGCTAGTGTTGTATTCAAGTAGCATCAGACCGGTTTAATTTTGTACGCTAATTACAGAGTTACGAAGATAGTTAATTCAGCAGACACGCTCGCGAAATATTAAGTCGTCACATCAACCAAGCAACGAAATATCGTCGCCAAGCTTAATTAGAGAAACTTAAAGGATAATTTAATTAAAAACCTAAAATTTAAGCTTAGAAAGACGGTACAAGTAGAAATTGGTTTGATGAAAATCGCATAAATACGTGCGAAGTTACATTTCAGCAACAAAAGAAAGGTGACTACAATTTACAAGTACTGTCTCGGAATTTGTATTAACGTTTATAGCATATCTTAGTGTGTTTGATACAGAGATATTCTGTCTATGCTTATTTTTATTAAAAATCGAGTACAAGACTGCACCGTCATTATCGTCATTATTACTACTGGAAAATATATTCCCAAAGATCGTTTTTATTTATAAACTAAGTCCAAGGATTTCTATGTGAGTAACTTCAATGCAAACAATATGTGCACCACTATTATATATACTAAGATAATTTATTAATGAAAAACTCTTTTTTTTTTACCGAGGTAATAAAAACTTTACTACATGCTTATGACTGTGCAGGAGAATAAGCTATTAATGTTAGAAGCCTTTTACTTACAGGTTTTAAAACTCTATTAATTTCAAAATTTATTTCTCGTTGCCTTTAAAATTTCAATTTATGTAATTGAAAAATCAAAATATTTTATATGTTTTTTTTTTTGTATTTTCATAGAAAACTAATTGTTTAAGATCGTCTCAACAAAGAAGATGTTTTCCCAGCATATGAACGTTCTTGTAAAATATCTCTGAACGCTGCCATAAAAACCTTTATCGGAAATCAGTTTCAAGAACAGTGGAAGCGGTTCTATTTTTTGATTTCATAATTTTATCGTAATCATCGCTATAGGAAGTGTGCACTTGAAAATTCTTTGTGAAAGCCGCGATAAATAAAACGCATTGATTAGCACATTCGTCGGCGTAACACAAAAATCGTTCAAAGTTAACTGATCTAAAGGCATGCTGTCTGCACTCTTAAATGTCTGGTACGCCATAAATATTGTTAATGTTAAGTTTTATTTTCCGTTGTATACCTATACATAATTCAACTGTGCAGGCATTTAAGTAATACAACTTAAAAACACTCATTTAAACCTAAGCATAAGGATATAAGTTACCCTTTTATGCATTAAAATGAAACAAAAATTGATTTTATTAAAGGCACTTATTTTTAATTTTTAAAATATGCTTTTAAATACATTTTATTCCTAAGAAGCAAAAAACGAAAGAAAAATATGTAGGTTTCAAGTTTTTTTTTGCCATCAATATTTTACTACGTCCGATCTGACAACTACCGCCATCTAGCGATACCAGTGAGTAACCTGAAAACATGACAAGGCTCAAACGACCATGACTTGTAAATGAACATCAGTACCAAATACTGATAATTAATTCAGTATTCAATACTAATATCGATATTAATAGAGAAGTATCGGTATTTTCAAATATCGATCAGTCCCTGTAAATGAAGATGAAAGTAGTAATAAAATCAGTCGTATTAAAATATTATGTTGCTTTTGCATTTCGATGACAGTTATAACTAAATAACTAATTACCTATATAATTAGACAGTTGCAGGTACCAAGATTAGTACTTGGGCGACCCTTACCACTATTTTATTTATTAATTAATAATTACTTCATATATTAGTACCCAGATATAACTTTCTTAGGCCTATCTAGAAAAACTTGTAATGTAAAATATTTTCAGCCATTTTCGAGGACCCAGTTACGTATAAATATACATAATACATATTATGTGTTATTATTTTTTATTTTATCTATTTAACAGATATTAATTTTATATGATTGTATATCGATAAAACAATGATTTTCTGTAAATTTTTAAATATGTAGGTATAGCATAATAATTTATTTTTAATAATATTCTATTTTTGCCCAGATGTGATATCGCCTGAGCCAAAAGAGTAAAAAACATAAATTAACAAGTACAATATTATTTAAAATTGCGGGATTCAAACTGATTAGGGTGTTGAGAAAATTATACTTATGGCGAAATTGCTAATCATATTTCACGGGCAAGTCAATTTTGATACTTTGTGTGTGATAT